CATTCCTGCAAGAAACCACTTCTCAGATTTTTGAATGTCTAATGTGCAAAGCACCACGTTAGGTGATATAAAGAGTAGAGATGAATGTTGCTCTTGAAGGCGTTCCTCTTTTTAATTCGGCGTGCTAATGTATCTAGATTGTGATGGACTTCCACGTGCTAGCACCTATGAGCCCAGAAGTTTTCCTTATGGCTTGGAATCAGTGACCCAGGCTGCCATGGAGTGCCATCTCATTTGTTAAAAATCTTAAGTTGATTTACTGAAAGTTCAAGAAATTGCCACATGCTGTTAAATATGATGGAGAAATGGAAAGGCCGGAGAAGTTTCCGTTCAGAAGATTAGAGTTTGTACCCAGCCCACCTGCTTCACCAGGTGTGTGGTGAACAGGACAGTGTACATTGCAGAGTGCTACAGCGGTCTAGTGAGGCAGCCAGCCGACACCTGTACATGTCCTGTGGCCTGATTAACCTTGAATCCAAATACTCATCCAAGTTTCTCATTCTGCCAGGAAAGACGATTAAGAAAGCAAGATCGTAGCTGCGTCAGGAAGAATCTTGTAGAGTACCCGGCTCTTTCTTGCTCAGATCTGGAGAGCCTTCTTTGGCCCCACTCTTTCCAGACCGCTTTCATATTGTCTCAGGAAGAGACTAGAGCTAGATCAATGACTGCCAGTCCTGTGGGTCTCCCACTTATTTGCCAACTTTGATTATGAACTGGGAGTAATTTGACTGTTTTCCTAAAACTGAGCTTCATCACAGCTGATAAAAGTTGCCACTGAAGGAATTCTGATGTTTTATTTTCAGAGATTGAGTGTGAAAGAGGGAAATTTGGGATACTTTTTTTAAAAATCACGTATAAGAGAAAAATGTATGCTGTTTATTCAGAAGGCCAGGAGCCGGTAGTTAATCAGAGGGAAAGGTATGGGTTGTCAACACCAATTTTTATGCCTCAACTAGTATGTCTATGCAGTAGAGTTCAGCAGTGGGTAAAATTGACTTTCAGAAGCAACCATGTCTGTAGACAACCATCGCTACCAATCCGCTCGTGCCCCCACCCACCCTCAGGTAATACACAAGTCCCAGTTACTCCTTTTAAAGAAGAATCATGTGTTTGACTTTTTAAAGATACTACCGTGCTACGTGTCTGTAGCTTAAAAAAAAACCACCCGACCTAGTATGTATCTGTTCAAATGGGTAGAATTTTATCATACGCTAGTTGTCTATCACTTGTTTCCACACTTCATTACTATTAGACTGAGAAATTTAAAAGATTTCCATTAAAACCCATTAACTACCACCTGAGCACCTTTCTAGGAACAATAGACTGATCGGTACAAAAATTGGCTCTTCACCAAATTGTTTTCCAAACTATCAGCAGGTAAATAATATGCAAATTTTGATTGAAGTATCACACGTATCTTGACTTTTTTCCCCTTCATCTAATCAGAATGGTACACCTGTGCATAAAATATAACAAGATATAGATAAGGCTGCAGTGTCTTGGGATTCGTCTGTGGAATTCTGTTTAAGACAGCACGGCTTATACACATGATTTTTGTTAATAATATTGGTGGCAGTTGCCCACTTTAGTAGCCATAAGATGAACCAGAAAGAAAAGCACAAACAAGGCTTTTCGGTACCTGGTTCAGTGCAGGTGAGCCTTTTAGAAATGACTTGGGTTTCAAAGGAATGTACTAGGTAATACCGTTGACCACGAGGCACCAATTCCCAACAGAAGGGCAACTCGCATATTTTTTACTGTTCGTATTTTTATGTTTAATGGCGGGCATGAATTTGGAGGCACTTATATTTTTAAAGTTCTCAGGTACCGTTCAATTATTTAATGTTAACAGTGTATCAAGATACAATAGGTTAAAAAATGTCAAAATGCCTTTTGTACAGAATTTTATTTTATTATCTTTGTAATATCTTTGTATACAGTGATTTTTTTTCTTGCTACTATAATAAATGGAAAAAAATTCTAAAACACTTTGTGAAATTTTATTGCTGTTTAAGAATCTCAACCACTTTAAAAAAATCATTTTATTAGGGGCTGATACAACTCTCATCACAATCCATCCATCCATCCATTGTGTCAAGCACATCTGTACATTTGTTGCCCTCATTACTCTCAAAACATTTGCTTTCTACTTGAGCCCTTGTCAACCACATTTTTTAATAGCATTTTATTTATGGGGAAAATAGTTTTGGTTGCGTAGAAACATTTAATGTTACAGCTGAATGTAATTACATACGTAAATTGCCCTTTGAAATGGCAGTTTTGCAGAGTAATGCAATTACTTTTTCAAAAATCCCCTTTCCTGTCTGCATACCTCTCCTGATCTGAGCAAGGTACAGTAGGCGTCAGCAGAGGACCTGGGTGGTGGCTCAGTGCAGGAGTAGGAAGGAACCGTCTGGTGGAACAAGGTGGCAACAGGAGATTGCTTATTTATTAGGGGGACTGGTCCTTTACATAAACACATTTGAGGTTAATGGGAACTTAATAAAATAGAGGGTCAGCGAAAGAGGTGGCTGCAACAGTGGAGTGAAATCCAGCCCTCGTGGGGAAGCGGCCTTCTGTTGACAGGGTTGCTGTGAGTCTGAATAGACTGGACTGCACCTCACAATAAAAGGAGCCAGTTTTTCACGATCAGAGAAGGAAGTTACAATACGGAATAGGAGAAAGCTCAAATGGGAATTGGAGGCACTGGTACAAACTAGCTTTGTACTTATGTAGAGACGTGGGTGTATTTTCCATGCCAGAGCTTGTGAGGAACATTATCACAACATGAACACCAAGCGCTCAGGTCTTGGTTTCATTTTCTTCTAAAAGTAACCAGAGTTCTTTAGTGAAATAGCCCATCCCAAGTCTGGTGCAGGGAAAACAGGAAAAGCCCGGAATTCCATTTTGTATCAGAAAGTAGGAACAGAGGAGGGGCTGGTGCCAGAAGGACATAAGCCAGGAGGGTGGAGCTTCCACTGACCAAATTGTGAACATTTTGAACATCAAGATAGATGTTCGTAGCGGATTAAAGCCCATGGAATAGAAGATCCACATGCACCATAATGTAAACAACTGATGAACTAAATGGCAGAGAAGGGGTCGCTCAACTTGTCAAATGTTGATAACCGAGAGGAGGAAAGATGGATTTAGAAACTCCTTATTTAGAAATCATTATTGATTCAGGCAGATATCATCAGTGGGTGATTTTCATTGACAAGCCTGGTGGTCTTTAATAACAAGATACTTGTAACAAAAGCGGAAGCATCACTCAGTAGAAGCGCTTAGCAGACATAACCTTGATTAGCTGATGAAAGCCCTGTGGCCAGCAACTGGACAAAGTGTGCATGGCACCTGACAAGGAACAAGAACAGCAGCAGCTCTCCTGTGGCTTTCTTGCCCCAAAAGGCACCCCCCCCCCCCTCAGCTTCCTAAAAGGAACTATCAGGCAAACCCCAATTGAGGGAATGTTACAAAACACCTGGCCTAAAATGGGCAAAGGTGTCAAAATAATGGGAAGGTGAAAGAAGTGTTTCCAATTAGGGATGACTGGCAGTGGGGGTGGGTGAAGAACCACCAAATAGGACGCCTAGAGTGAATTCGGTGGTGGTGGTGGTGGTCACATTGTTTGGACATAGAAAGCTTGAATGGGGGGTGTGGGCTTAGGTAGTGATTCAACATCCTGGTTTTGACAGCTGCACTGAATAAGTAAAAGAACGCCCTTGTGTGTGGAAATTACACATGCATGTGCCCAGTGGTTCCAGGAGAAAGCCTCAGGCTTTCCCGGCAACTTTCCTGTTATTTCAAAAAATTTTAAAGATTAAAATGCCATCAAAGTTTTATTTCATAATAAAAAGAGTACCATTTAAAAAATCAACTTAGAAAACTTTGCATAACATTTCATTCTTAGATTTAGAAATGCTTAAAATTCCGCTAAAAAAGAAAAAAAGATTCTTTTAGGAAAAGGAAATTTAATTGCTAGTTTTACTAAGGATAATTTGCAAGAATAACCAACTATCTGAAAGTAAGAAATTTTTCATTGTACTGACTTTTTGTTTTGTGTTTTACTTTCCATGTGTTCAGAGTTGATGTTTTTCATAGAGTAAACCACAGACTGGATTCGGGAAAAAGAGATCATGCCAAGAAATAAAACCCACTCTAGAAGCATCATTAACATCTGCTAATTTAAACACCTATACAAGGAAAATCATAAAACTAGTATTAATGTAGTTTACAGAGAAAAAGTAAAACTACAGTATTATCATCAGTAAATGATCCCAATTCAGCATAAACAGAGCCCCACCCTGATTAACAGCCATTGTCTTATAAGTCTGAACATTTAGAGTCAGTACAATATTTACAGCTAATGTTTGCTTGTCTTGGCATTCTGCTGAAACAACAGCAGTCTTCTCATGTAAGCTTGTTCAGGGCCTTGATGGTAGCTACCATTTTGCAGGCCCACAGGCTTCAAAGCTGACCAAGAAGTGTGCACAAAACTGTCTTCCCAATGACTTAAATCCATTTGAAAGTAAAATTTTCCCTAGAAACTAAGACACATTCATGCAGAAGTTCCTTTTATCAGAGGTTGAGTTCTGCGATCCCTTTCTCGTTTGCTGGTATTGAAAATTCACTACCAGTCAGAGGCCTAACCATTTCAAAGTGATAGGCTGGCTTCTTTATGTCAATGAAATCAACACTCAACACTGTCCTGATTCCTCAAGTGAAAAATGTATTTGAGACGAGACATGAACCCAACACTATCCAAGTCACGCTCTACAATAAGCTGGGATGTTTCGGTCCAGGACATGATCTTTCCTTGACAATTCTTTAGGAGACGTCAATGACCCCTCTCCCTTTGGGTTTCTTCCTTAACCTGTCTTTCTTCTTTACAACATCAACAGATGCTGTATTAGTAAATGGTAGTTTTGAGATTGTGTGAAACATTCTTGGTTCTCCGATTGGGTACGTAAATTCCAAAAGTCAGCCTCTTTCACAGTCGGTACTTAGTACAGGGTTTATTAGGAAAGCCCTGAGAGATGGAGATAGAAAGTCTGTAGTCCTAGATAAGGAAGCAACTATTGTAGACAAGTCATTTCACTCTATTCTTTGGTTTTCATATTTGTGAAGTGGAGAGACTACATCTATATCACTATGTTTGAAAGGGAAGCACAAGAGAGGGTAAGTCAAAATGTATTGCTACAAAATTCATAGCAACCATTATTAAGCAAAATTATCAAACTGTGAAGCTGTTATTTCTTGGGCAATCCTCTAACGTCTACACGCTGCAGAAGGCAGCATTTCTAAGGCCCCATGAAGAAGGTTGCCTCTTCAGTTCCCACCTCATCTCAACAGCTGTTGGGAGCCCTTGAGGGGCCGGTTTGTTCTTTTTGTTTCCCAAACTCAAAGAACAAGTCTGGAGGGGCAAGAAAGAGGAAGCTGTGAGGGCTTGCGGCCGAGTTTCCCAACAACATCCTTGTAGATGCCCCTGCTGCCCTGAAGAACAGGTACATTGTCACAGTGGGGGTGGGGGCTGAGGGTGGAAGACTCCTTACGAAGAAGTTTCCTGGTCTTTATCTCACTAATGCACTTTTCAATTTTCTTCAAGAGTTTGTCATAATAAGCCCCTATGATTGTCCTGTGTCCTTTGAGAAAATCTAGCAAGGGTGCCCCCCTTGGGATCCCCAAAAGAAGTCATCCTAACTTTGAGCTGACCTGCCTGCTTTGGATTAAACTGGTCTGGCAGATCCCCTCAGAAGGCACTGTTTTGAATGGACCTTGCTCTCTGGATCACGCTAGTAAATCCAAGACTCATCCTCCATTACAATTCATTCAATAAAGTCTCCATGAGCTTTGCTCCCTGCTTAGAAGGCAGAAAGATCCGTTCTTGGAGCGAGGCGATCACCATACAACGCCTGCCGAGGCCAAGATGGGCACTTAAGATGCCAAACCACGTCCTATCCCAACCTCAAGAGCTACCACATCACCGGGAAGTTGGCGGTCAGCCCCAGGTTCTGCAGGTCAGCTGCAGGTGTTTCAGTGACTGAGGCTGAGGGCTCGTTTCCTTCAGTGCTCACTCGAGCTACCACGCGGTTCCGTGGGGCAGTGTCCTGTGAACTGGTTGCAGAGCTTCACCGGTTTAGGAAGATGTCCTCTTGACTTGTGTTAAAAAGTCCGTCAGTATTGGCCCTGACCCCAAAAGTGGAATTTTCCATGGCGCACGTTCACTCACACAAACCCTATTCGGAAAGCACCCTAACGAGACTAAGGCAAGCGTGTGATGCTGAGGAACCTGTTTGCCTGCTGCCATCCACTGACGGCAGAGATGTTTAAACACATAGTTTGGGATAAATGGGCCCAGGTGTGAACTAGAACCCCAGGAGCGATACTTTCTGAGTTAGCCTCTTATATTGAAGCACCTTGAAATATACTACCAGTTGGGCGGTCTAAATTTTTCAAAAAGTTATATTCAATAGGCATAGGCACTTGTGTCTCCTTATATAAAAGATTGGTGAAGTTATTTTTCCATGACATGCCTTAATTCCTAAGGTTTTAATTTCCCTCCACAAGGGATGTACTGACAATTTTTAGTCTGCCAAAACCGTAACTTGAAGTCATGAGAGTGTTACAAATTGCACCCAGAAGTCCTTCTATCTGCAATAACTCGAGGCTACTTGGGAAAGCTAACCTCCGATTTGCATTGATATTTTAGAATATTATAGGTGACTGTGCTGCCTAAGTCAGTGTATCTGCATCGATGAAACTTTTATCCAGGTCATTTTAAAAAGGTAGTGTCGTACTGTAAAGGTGGTGTGTCTCTGAGAAAGTGGCCCTGGAGCACAGTGGGTAAGCGCTCAGCTGCTGGGCTAACAGTCGGTGGCTTGGCCCCAGCCCGTGAGGTGCTCCGTGGGGGAAGGAGCGTCCACCGGCTTCCCCGTAAAGATTTGGGTACAGCCTCAGAAACGCCACGGGGCGTTCTACTCTGCTACCGGTAGGGGCTCTGCCCTAGAATAGACTGGACAGCAATAGGGTTTTAGGGGGCGCTCTTGGTGGGAAATCTGAACTTCCAAAAAAGTAGCTTCTACGATGAACAGAGAAGGTACCCTGGGCCCGGACCTCTCTAAATAAAATAATTAAAAGCAAATGATTTCATCACATTTTGCTTTGCAGGGGCTGGAGCGGGGCAAGAAGGGTTGTTAAGACATCTGTAGAGCAATTTAACACCTACAAATATATACCTAGAGATCCTGAGATGTTTACAGCAAGTTTAAAAAACGTAGATCAACGTGATCCAGATGGTTCCCGAGACATTGCGAGGGCGGGTATGGGGCCATTGCGCAGTGTGTGCTGAACGGGGGTCCCCAGCCTGCCGGGGGAGCCCCAGCTCTCCGTCTTCAAGGGGACCGTTAGTCATCCAGGGCAGGCGGCCAGTCCACATCCACAGACTAGAAGGAAGAAAAAGGGCCTTACAAGCAGTAACGTGATGATCAGCTTATTCGATTTTCACAGACTACACCAGGAGAAATGCATTTGAAGAAAACTAGTGAATCCGACAACGTAACACCCTGAACAGACCATTCTAGGGAATTCTGACCCCAGGTCAGTCTCTGAATTAACTGAGCACCAGCTGACTGCTCACTGTGTCTCAGAACAGAGTAAATGAACATGTTTAAATGTATGACGTGAAGAGCACAAACATCTAGGTGGTAACACCCACGTTCCCTCGAAAATCTCAGCCAGCAACTCCCATCCCTGCTCCCTGTCAGTCTCCCTTCCCGTCCTTGTAACACGGTGTCTGTGGAGCATCCTGGAGAACTAGCACAAGATGAAGGATCTGCTTCACTTCATCGCTTGTAACATTTCTTTTTAAATCCAATTCGTCTATTCCTACCCAGGTTTGGCTCTTGTGCCAGCAAGCCAGGAAATCACAACAGCCTGTGCTGTCCCACAGTAACAGCGCCTTCCGTAGTGACGGGAAAGAAATCTTTCCTTACTCCTTGAGTCGCTTCACAGAGCAGATTCAGAGACTCGTTACGAAGGAAGCTCACTCGTCCTCGTGCTGTATGCGGTGCAGCTTCTCCAGATCCCTGGAGACAGTACAGTGTAAAAAGCAGGGGAGCTGATGTGCGCAAAAGCGAAGTAGGATCTGCTGGGGTCGGCCTGTGTCTCTGTATGCCGCAAGCCTTGTAACTTAGTGAGGGTGTTCCTGCACACCTCGCTCCCCCTGTAACTTAGTGGGGGAGCCCCTGCACACCTCGCCCCCCCTGTAACTTAGTGGGGGAGCCCCTGCACACCTTGCCCCCCTGTAACTTAGTGGGGGGTCCCTGCACACCTCACTCCCCCTGCAACAGTGGGGGGGGTCCCTGCACACCATGCTCCCCCTGTAACTTAGTGGGGGCTCACTGCACGCCTTGCTCCCCCTGTAACTTAGTGGGGGGGTCACTGCATGCCACGCTCCCCCTGTAACTTGTGGGGGTGTCGCTGTATGCCATGCTCCCCATGTAACTTAGAGGAAGGGTTCTGAGGCCCGAACATCAAACATGACTGACTGGACTCTGGGTCTGCGTGTTGAGGGCCGGGAAGAGGCAGCGATTTTTTTTTTAATACCCCAGGCGATTGTGGTGGTGCTGTGGGGATGCTCAGCTGTTTTACGAGGAAAAACGAATGCAGGTGGGACTTTCCCTAAGTCGGCAGTCTCACTCAGGCTCCTGCAGCCTCAAGGCGGCATTGGCTGCTGAAGAGCCTTTCTGGTAGCACCTGAGCACCCAGGGCGGCCACAGCTGTTTCCACTCGGGGCAACCCTGCCCACTTCGCCTCCTAACGTGCAAGATGCTGGCCTGGCAGAGGGACACAGAGCACTGGAAGAGGGACAACTCCTCTTGACCACATAGGCAAGGAGCACAACTTGTGACCCAATACCTACCTGTTGCTGCTCAGATAAGAAAAAAGTACCCACGCAGAATTGCCTGAAACATCACTTCAATCCATTCTTTTAATTCTTCCAGAGTTCACCCGATTTCACAGCTGTCAACCTGGACCCCTCTGTGAGGTCCTATAGGGAACTGTTTGGGCCCCATCTATCCTGAATCGGTTTCTGTGGAGGCTGCCTTACATTCTCTTTAAAACATGTATGGAATAACATAAAGCATCAGTGGTGGGTCTGGACTCTAGAGGCCACAGGACGGCCCTCAGCAGCTTGCTTCCTTGACTTGGTGTGAGGGCTTAGGATCGATGCCACAGGCAAAGCAGAGGCAGTGAGTTAGCCAGAACTTTGCAAGGAGGACCAACGAGAGAGTGTGGCTTTTGTCAGAACTGAACATTCACAAGGTTGTCTGTCTGCAGTACGAGGGGACTGTGCCCATTCTCAAATACTGACCAGCACGACTAGCACAATAATTGCGCAACTGGCCATCGGGGGTCCCCTCTCCCCCATCAGACCATTTACCTCCACGTCCAGCTCCAGAATGTCAGCGGTCACACTCAGCAGGGAGCCGATGTTCGGCTGTGTCCTCCCAAAGTCGCCGTGGACAAGCTCTTTGATGTAGCTGGGCTTTGTTTAAGGAAAATGGAGCTCCCCACACAGTAGCAACCAGTGGGGGGGACTTGCTAGGTGACAGGGAAATGACAGACGGCAGCGGAAATGTTACAAAGGAGAGGCTCTTCCTGAGCCCATGCCTTCTGAGGGCTGCCTGAGAAAATATGCCATGGCGGGCCTGTTTCCACCAGTCTGCCAACAGCAGGACAGAATCAACAGCATACTTACCAAGGGCTGCGTCTCTTTTTTCCCCTCATAGCTGGTTTCCAAGTGCCAAAGTTTGGGCATTGTTTTTTTTTTAATTAGCTATGATTCCATCCTAAAAAGTAAAAAACTTAAAACTGTGTTGTTGAGCCCCATCTTCCATGTTGTTATCTCTCTGCTCCCGTTTTTTTGGTCAATAATATCAGCTGGAATCTGCCTCTCGCATGACACACAGAATGATGTCGCTGACGGTGTCCTTGTAGTGTGGCCCAGTGGCGGGAGGAAGAGGACATGAAAGCTATCAGTTCAGCCGTGATGAGGACCCTTCTGAGGGATCCCCAAAGGGCCTAAGTTTGGGTACTTTGTTCACATGTTGGTAGAATTCAGTGACTTCTTTTTCTAAAGAAGCATTTCTCTTTCACTGGTCTTCAAATACTGACATCCATTACTAATTCGGTTATTGGTCAGATGACCTTCACACTCCCGGGATGAGGTTGAACGATTGCAGAGGAAATCAGATGTCTGTGGATTTCATCCACGACAGGCAAATGTGCTCCCAACAGGGGGTCAGAGAGACCTAAAGAGACCACTCCTGGATCCAGAAGTGGCACAAAGACAAAGTGAGTAGGACGTAGGAGCAAACACCACACCGGTTTCGGGAAGTCAATCCCGGTCACAGTTAGAGGTGGGTTTTTCACAAGGCACATGCAGGAAGGGTGTGCTTTGTTACAATGAGCCAGGGGTCAGATAAAGTTTAAACTGATAGGCAGTACCAAGTCCATGCTGGTGGGACTTAAATATGTGGTCACGAATACGTGACTTGCCAAATACTTGTCAAGACAGCAAATGTGCCCCCTCAGAAGCGTGTTCTGCATACTGCATGCGTGCTCAGCACCGGGAGGCACAGTAACACGTGCGCCAGGCCACCAGAGGTCGGGGCATCATTGCGCTCTGGTGATGGCCACCCCGCGGTCGGAGAGCTGGGCTCCCTGGGTTTCCCAGGCTGTAACCTTGCAGACGTGGATCTTCGCCCTTCTTCGGCGGCACCTTCTGAGTAGCCTAAGTGCCTAACCATTAAATATCTTTAAGGCTGACACTGGACTGTGGTTGCTACCTCTTGGTTTAAAACATCTTGAAAAAGCACAAGGGGGTGTGGTGGGGGATTAACATCTCAAACAACAAGATGAATTGTTCTCCAATCGAACGGTTGTCCTACTAGCCCCCAGACCAAAGGGGCTCCCTCTGGGAAAGGATACGTGCCCGCCTGCGTCTTCAGGCGGAGGCGAAAGTGGTGCTGGTCCAAGTAGTGCGTCTCCATGGTGTGAATGAGCCGCGTCCTCACCGCCAACGGCCTCCGGTGCAGCACCCGCAGCGGCGTTTTCTGCTCAATCTTTAGGTCCTAGAGGGGCACACACAGCACGAGGTCAGAGCTCCGCTGCCCGGGGGCGCAGCTGTTCTCTTGGGGGTGGGGGGGTGGGGTCGGGGGGTCCACCCATCGCTGCTAGGGTGGAAGCAGACTGACACCACGACAAAGAGCGCGCCCTTAGCGTCTAACCGCGGCAGCGTCTCAGCACCTGCTGCCACAGTGGTTAAGTGCTCGCTCTGCTAACCGTAAGGTTGTTGGTTCAAAACCCCTCAGTGCCAGGGACACGCGGCAGTTGGCCTTTGTAAAGAGGAGTCTTTGGAAACTGGGGGCAGGGCTACTCTGACCCACGCAAGGGCCACCTGGAGGCCGAATGCACTTGCTGGAAGATGGCCATTGCACGCATCGCCGAGGGCCTTTCACGTCGGCGGGACCTTAACTCAAAAGAACCGGAGACACTGGGGCTTGCAGATGACGGGCCATCTGTGCCACCAGCGCGTGCGCGCAAGTTCACGGGGCGAGTGTGTGGCGACACGACGGGGTGCCCTCGGGGCCCATGTGGACTCACGGCGGCCCCCCAGGGACCGGCAGACCGGCCCCATGGCATCCTGGGCTGTAACCTCAGGGGGGCCTCGCACCGGCGCCCTGGCCGGGATGCGAATGCCAAACCCGCGTGCTGGGAAGCCAGGCGGCCGGCCCAGGGCGCTGAAAACAACGGCACTGTGTGTCTTTTGGCAAAGCATTTGTTCTAGAGGCACAGGCTTATTATCGTTCTCACATTTCGTGCACATTAAAGGTTTTCCTTTATATCGCAAAATACGGTGAGAAAAAGAAAAAGGTCAGCCAGATGCCAAGTTTTTAAAAATAGATGAGGCGCATAACCAGAAATGTAAGTTCATAAGAACTTTCAATTCTCTGCAGTTTCTGGTTGGAACAACTCCTTTATTTACATGATTAGCCAGCACCTGAAGCCTGCCGAGAAAAGAAGGGTTTCTGGGGATTCTACACATCATCCCGCCCCCCCGCCCCCCACCTTCACCACAGAAAGCACTTGAGAGGTGTGATTCCTTTTATCAGAGCCCTGAGCCAGGGCTTTCAGGGCTGTGATAAGCTGCTAACTACTGCAGACAAAGCGACCTCGGAAGTGAAAGGGCAAAGCTGACCTGCCATCGCTCATGTCTCCAATCTACGGGGCCCATGTGACGTGCGCCCGTCCCCGGACTCACTCCCAGAACCTGGGATGGAAGTGGGCCCCGCACTGCCTCCAACTTAAGGCCCAGAGAACGCGAACTCGAGCGCGTGGCTCTTGGTCCGCCGTCCCTCGCCGACAAATGGAAGCTGTTTCCCTGACTTGAGCCATCCCCTTCTGCCTCACCCTGCAGAATTTTCAGAAACACACGCCACATACATGGGTTGTTTCCTTCTTAGAAGTTGACTGCTCTTTTAGAAAAAGAGATACAAGTATCCAGGTGACATTTTACTCAGAATGGGGTAACTCAGTTTTTGTAGTTTTGGTACCAACAGGAATATTTGAAAACAGTTTTAACCCACATTCACGATGAAAAATAAGCATCTTCAGGCTCTTCATCTATCAAATAGGAGCAACAGCCCCTGCCCTGTTACCCCAAGGTGGCAGGGGAGACCCAGACCGCTGTCAACTCGTCCCCACAGTCCTGCTATTAGCTCGGGCTTTGACGCATCCCGTGGGACGTCTAACACCCCATCTAGACCTGTAGAAATCGTCTTTTTCAGAAGATCTCTTCATCAACTCTATGGTTTCTCCCCAAACCGTGCACTTTTCTTCTTCAACACAAGTTCATTTCCCCGGGATTCTGAATGATTCCCCCACCCGTGAAAGAAGGGAAAGGTTTGGAAAGTCACTGTGCAATCTTAGGAGTGCCTGTGTAGATTATCAGCATCGCCTGAGGCCCTGCTCACAGTCCCAAGGCCAGAAGGCAGAACCATGTGACCTCATGAGAGGAGGAGACGGTGGTCCAGGCCTGGCCATATGCCTCTGAGCTTCTCCACTCAGGTGAATGACTTGTATGAAGAACTGGGTCACACCCCCACCCCCCAATTTACCCACCAACTTACTTATTTTTCATTTTCATCCCTCAATTTTTTAGAATTTCAAATTACAAAAGAAACATGGGTCTATTGTATCACACAACACACCTGGCACCTACGGCCATAGCGTCAATTCCGCCTCACCACAGCTCAATTTATAGGACTTCAGGCTTTACAGTCTCCTCTTTCTCCTGAAGGGTGACAGGTGGCTTTGAAGTGCTGACGTGCATAAGCAGTCCAATGCTTACCTGGCAGCGCTACCCAGCCCCTTACTGTGCTGTATAGAACATTCGATTCAGACGACCTAGGAAGCCTGTACCTGCCACGGCTGCAAACTGAACAGCATGTGTACATCCCCTGGAAATTTCTCCATGTTCATCTGAGCATATGCAGCCGCGTACACAAAAGCACAGGGGTCCCCATGGTTCCCACCAAACACTCCTACTGCCAACATTGCTCTGTACTGCCCCCGAGGTGCTCTGAGTCTGAACTGACTCAATGGCAAGGTTTTTGCTTGTTGGTTTTAACATATGACAGGTGTTCCAAAAAGTCGCAGGGACAGTTCTACGCTTCTTTGTCCCTCATACACACTCACTGAGTGGTGTTGAGTCTGTTTCAACACACGGCAGCCCCCGTGACACACCAGGACTGCCCTCAAGAGCTTTCTCTAGGCTGCGAGCTTTAAACCGAAGACCGGCAGGGCTGCCTCGAGCTGCTGGTTTGAACCGACAACCTTCCAGCTGCAGCCAAGTGCCTACCCGCTGAGCTGCCCTGGCTCTTTCTGAAGTAGCTGTAACCTATTCCAACTTATTCTCCCACTTCCCTGTTGAAGGACAGGCACCATGTTTCCAGAGCGTCCTCGACGATTCTCCCAACTTTGAACACACTCAGTGCACAACTCAGAGACTGGCCGTTGGGTGGGAGTGCTATGTCTGCGACAGGCTGCCGGGGGTGGGCTGGCCAGGGAGCCGGGCGGCCTGGCTTTCATTCTGTCATCAGCAGTCCCTCCTCCTCCATCCCACACCTCACCCCAGGGGAGGGAGAGAACAGCAGGATGGGAAGAAAGCCATGTCCACGCGACACTTTCACGGGTGACTCCTGGCCACCCGGGGTTACTCTCTTTCAGCTGCCTATTCATATTCTTTGTCTCTTTCTATTGGTGTTTATATTTTTCTTGATCAATATAAACCTAATTGTATGACATTCTTTGGCCATACAATTTGTTTTCTACAAATGTGTGTGTATGAACAAAATGTATCAGCCTATTATTATAGCTTGTGTTTCTCCCCTTTAGCTCTTATTGGTAATATTTTCCTATGAGAATAAAGATTCATCTCTCACACTGTTTTTGACAGTGGCCTCCCTCGACAAGATGGATGGACACTGTGGATGCCACACTGGGCTCCGGCACAAGAGCCATCGGGAGGGTGGCACGAGGGTGGCACGGGACTGTATGGTGAACAAGCACAACAGTCCCTCTACAGAGGAGCTGGGACCGTGACCCCTGCCCACTGCCAACGAGCAAGCACCGACGTCAAGTGACCCTGTTTTGGGGGTGGCCAAGATGGTGAACCTTTCACAGCACCAAACAGTCTCATTTCCCCATCAAGAGTAGCTAGTGGGTGTGGCCCTCCGGCCTCACAGCTTAGCCCACCGCACCACCAGGCCCTCTATTGAGTTGCTCTAGATTGCCACATCATGTTGCCCATTGAAGCAGTAACTGCATGCACCTCTTGCCTATCGAAGCTTCCTCCTTCCATGTAGAAGTAAAAGCTCTTCACAGAGAGCATCGGGAGTAAGGGTGGGGGGGAATATGCCAGCACACGGGTATGGACGTGCTCGGCGGAAGGACAAGGAGGTGGTGAACACTATCTCCCCATCGTAGTGATCCGCTTCATCTTAGCTTCATGTGGATGACATCAGTTCTATTGTAGACAGCTAACACCTGAGAAATCCTGAACCAGTGCAAGGTGGAACCTGGCAGAGAAGGAAAACCAAACTGTTTTCCACTGAAATGAGTGATGGGAGGGTCGTAAGGCTGTAACTTGCCATATGTGGAAGGCTGGCAAGAGCAGGAGAAACCACAGGCACGCTGAGTCCGCGGCGCTCACAACATACTTACAGATGACCAAATACTGACCCACTGACCAATGCCTGACCAAATGATCAGCTACAGCACTGCTGCTTTTTCTATGCGCCATGTGCTGTGCTAGCCATGATCAAACGCATTTAATTCTCTGAATTTTGTAGATGAAGGCACTGAGGCACAGAGAGGTGAAGTAACTTGTGCAAAGGCACACAGCTAAGAACGGCTGAGGCAGCGTTTGCATCTAGCAGCCCAGTCATTTGACTGGTAAATAAATGGCAAAGGCAGACTTCCACCGAGGTCTGAAGATCCCCCCACCCACCCCCGCCCCCGCAAGACCTGCACACTGGGACGTGGAGATCAATCGATCACTGTCTGGGTGATAGAGAAATAACGGGGAAAAAATTAACGAGAGCACTTCATATACCTTTATGTCATTTAGGAATTCAATGTCTTTCTCCTGTATTGCTTTATTTGTCCAAATTAAGGCACTATAGGTCTTGGTCTTCTCTTCTTCACCTGCTTTCATGTGTCCTAGTGCCTCTCTAAACCAAAAGAACAGCAGAAAGTTTGTCTGAACATATAAAATACACACAGCAAGTCTTGCACAAAAGTTCCCTAAAACAAAACCAAGAGACACACACACACAAAACACCAAAGTCAGTTTGAGCTATAACTCCCCTATCACACAATTCAGCCATTTGAACTTGATTTTGTATGTGTTTACAGTTACTTAGCCGTCACCACAATTTTAGAATGCTCTGATCACCTCTGGAAGACACTGTGCCTAGTGGCCCTCCTGCTGGACTGTCTCTGAGGCTCTATTGTGGACATTTCCTTAAACACTGAATCATTCAACATGTACCCTTTGGTGCCTGGCCTCTTTGACTGCATGTTTTCAAGGGTCATGCGTGTTATAGCAGGTGTCATCAGTACTTTACTCCTTTCTATTACCAAAGACTCAATGCTTTGTTTATCTCTGCACCCACTGGTGGTCCTGGGTTGTTTCCACGTCCTGCCTGTGCTAACACTGCGACTGTGAGCATCACATACAAATCAAGACATAGACGTGTCTTCAGGCCCCTTGGGCACTTGTCCAGAAAGGGAATTACTGGGTCACATGGAATTCTTTAAACCTTTTGAGGAAGTTCCAGCTCTTTCCCAAAGTGGCCGCACTTACAACCTCACCCCCACCACCCCAGCAATGTATGAGGGTTCTGATTTTTCCACATCCTTGCCAACACTTACTCCCTGCTACCATCTAGCTGTGACATTAGAGCCACCTCATGGCTGTCTGGTGGGATCCCACTGTGGTTTGGGGTTGTATCCCCCTAACAGCGAATGGTGCTGGGCGTCTTTCCGTGTGCTCACTGGGTATCTGTATGTCCTCCTTGGAGGCCTGGAGGTCCCTGCTGTTTCTATTGAGTCACTCGGTGTCTTATCATGGAGCTATAAGGCTTCTGTATCTGGATACAAGTCCCTCATCAGACCTGTGATCTTCAACCAAGACTTGCCTTGGGAAGTCATCTCCCAGTTGTTGGTGGTGGTGAGACGTGGGGGGGGGGGGCCCCCCGCACGTGACTCTTACCTTGTGACAAGCTGCAAGTCCCGTACTTGGATTTTGTCGGACGACTTATTAATTTTCTGTAGTAGCAGAAAAAGACAAGCCATTAGCAATGCTAGCTCAGGTACAGAGTCGCAGAAAGAGGACGATTTCCATGTCATGGAAGTGGTTTACCTGCTGAAGTTCCTGAATTTCTTGTGAAGTGAAATGTACTCTATGAGGATTCACCAGCTCAATTGCAAAGGGCCTTCCTGGCAGCGCGCCCCCGTCATGAAACAGAAACGTGTTGATGGCGTTAACATTTGGGCTAATGCAAGGGGGTTAGGAGGTGTGAAAACAGGCAGAGCACACAGGACTGAAAGTTTGGTGGCTAGGCTACACCTGGGGGAGGGGAGGATGTGTGAAAAGAAGGGGCTTTGGAGGAGGGCTGCTGAGCCCCAGTCCAGGCAGTCGGTGAAAATGTCTGCTGCCCCCAGTGTTCTTTGAAGAAGCCTGTGCTGATGACACTGTACAACCCAGACGCCCACAGAAGAAGTGGGTTTCCGTCACACACTGCAGTGCCCAGATGAACCAGGCTGAAATCCGTCCTCCTAGCCTAAGCCTCGGGGTGGGGGTGGGGAGGCCTAGAAATGCCTTGGGCCAGGAGAGGAAGGGCGGACTCATTCTCATCCTCGGGGTTGTATTGGTGCGTGTTTTAAAAATGAGCGGAATGAAGGCTAAGCGAGCAGAATCACTTTTTGAATGAAGTGCCTCTTCAGAACTGTACTGGTACTGCTGAGATGCTATTAAATGGAGCAAGTCATTCTCCAACTTCGGGAGGGGAAAAAATATGGAGGCACCACTGTGCCAGTGAATGAAGCGGCAGTCTCTCATCACCTCGGAAGGAACAGCCCTGTGAGACCTGCCTGCGGTTCACAAAAGCAGCGCAGTAATGCAGGCAGCCTCGTGACTCGGCCCCCCGGGGGTTTTGAATACGAGACTGCGGTGAGACTGCTCTCAGGCGTTGAGGGTGAGCATCTGACAGTTCGTTCAAGTCAGGCAGTGGTGTGGCAATCTTACCGGTTCCCAATGTTCTCACGTCAACATCTTCTCTTCCAGAGGATGAGAAATTAAAACCTTCGGAAAGCAGATAAAGGGGGAAAAGAAAAATCAGAGAAATCAAACGTCCCAATCTTTGGGAAGAGCAACAATGTGAGGTCTTAGACAGCCTGTAGGAGGCTCTCTGGGGAGAGGGGTCAGTCACTTCACCTCTGAGAGAAATGGAAAAGAAAGCACTAACCAGCCAAGGAGTGCTTATCATATGCCACGTAGTCCTTACTAGAATCTAGGAGGTAGGCCAGAAGTGCAAGAACGTGGAGCCTCTGAAGGGGTAGGTTCTTCTCCCAAGGCCACGTAACAAGTGGCAGCCCTGGGCATTTCTGCCTTCCAATGTAGACCTTCCCCACCCTCCCATGGCACCACCACAGGGAGGACACCGGCAGAGTGCCACCAAGACGCAGCCACCTGGCCACAAGCCTGTGGCAGAAAAGCTACCATCGCTCGCTAAAACAAAGCACAACAAAGCAACAGCTTTTTTTAAACTTGAATTCAATGAAAGAAAGTGGAGGAGGGTCAGGGGAAGGTTTGAGTCTTAAACAAAACACCCACAAAAATGTAGTGGATGCTAAAATCAGTGGATCCTCACAGAAGGGAAAATGGTTCAAGCCACACAGCCTCTCCCTTCAACGGAGTCAACAACGGATGATTTCATCGTTCTCACCGCAGCAAACACGCCTGTGAGCAAGAGTTACTCTCAACGCTTGGCTCCCTCCTGCTGCACGGCCAGGCAGGTCCTAACGCCGCCCTGTTGCACTGACAGAAAGGCTGAGACAGACAGAGACAGGCTAATAACTTGCCCATGGTCATACTGTTGCCAGGTGGCTGAGTCAGGTCAAGAAGCTGCCGGTCTGGCCCAGCCTGCACTGTGGACACCGCAGTGTAGAGACCAGCACAAAGAGAGCCCACGAAGTTCACGAGCAGACCCAGGGGCACAGCAGGGCCAGCACTGTGGACCAGAAGCTGCGCAAGGCTGAGATGTTCTGGGATCCCGACTGCACAGCCGGGCTGGGAGCTGCAAACACTTGAACTTCCCAGTGCACAAGTGTCTGCATGCCAGAGCTGTGCTGGAGGGAGCGCTGGGCTGCTAACGACAAAGTCAGCGGTTCAGCACCACCAGCCCGCTGCCTGGGAAAAAACCAGGCTTTCTGCTCCCACAGTGACTTACAGCCTTGAAAACCCATCCCAAAGGGTCAGGCTGAGTCAGATTTGGCTCAGCGGCGGCAGCAAGTTCGGGTTTGGGTTAGCTATTAGGGCAACAAAGGCCAACAGGATGGGCACAATTTTTCTATCCCTGTCAAACTTGCTGTTTGTAGGGAGCTATGGCTTTACTGGGACGGCAGTGGTTTCCCGGTGGACTCAGGCAGTTTGGTTCCCGACCAATAACCATCAAGCACCGCCATCACCTGACTGCCGGTGGGTGGAGGCTTACATGTTGCTAGGAGGCTAAATGGGGTTCAGGGGAGCTTCCAGACTACGATGGGGCAGGAAGAAAGGCCCAGCAACCTCCTGAAAACCAGCCAATGACAACCCAGTGGGGACCATCACATTCTGATCTGCAACCACCCTGGGGGTGGCGGGTGACTGGCCGCGTTTCGTCCATTGTACGCGGGGCAGCTGACGACGTGGACAGTAAGACAGTACGCGGGGACAGCCCAGGCGCACAGCTGCGCCCCAAGCAGCAGCGAGGCTGCGTTTATTCACTAGCATCCCCACCCGCCCCTCGGAGCCCAGAGGCGAGGGAAAATGAGTCTTCGGCACGCTGCCAGGAGGTGGGCTCCCCTCTGCGCTGGGCTGGCTTGGGAAGGGCCGGGTGGGCAGGCCTAGAATCTAAGCTGCTCAGTAAGCAAGAGAAGGCGCCCCCATCCTGCACTTGGATTTCAATGGGCAAGTGAGCAGTAAGCCCACAGCAACACGAGGCGCTCCCCGTCAATAAGCAGACTTGAGACCCCACCGCCGCCCTGCCGCCTCAAGCCGGTTCCCACTCAGAGCGATGCTGGCGGGCAGAGAAGCACAGACACGTAGTGTGTGAGACAGGCAGCCTTGACGGGCGCAGATGGTCTGGTCATCCTTGCATCGAGCATGGAAGGTAGATTCCAACCACCGACCTTTTCGGGAACCAGAAAACCAGACCTCTTGGGGCAGAGTCGATGGTGACTCATGGTGGTGAGCCCAGGTGTTCCAGGGCAGAACGGTGCTGGAGGGAGTTCTTGGCTGTGACTTTAGGGAAGCGGGTCACTAGGTGTGGCTTCTGTGGCCTTACTGGTTGGGTTCGAATGGCAAACCTTTAAATGAGCAGGCCAAGACAAGCTCCCTGGCTCCCAGGGACCTGAGGGACATAAAGAACCACCACGAAGTCAATTCTGACTAATAGTGACCCTGTGACCCTGTAGGGTTCCTGAGGCTGTCCATCTGTCTCCCTTAGTGTGGCCACTGGATTTGAACCCCTGAACTTGGGGTTAGCCCACAACCCCAGCAGCATGTGCTTTGAGAGCTAAGTAGCTGTCACTGTCGAGAGCAGTGGTTCTCAACCTTCCTAATGCCACGACCCTTTAACACAGTTCCTCATGTGGTGATCCCCAACTATAAAATTATTTTCATTGCTACTTCATCTCTATACTTTTGCTACTGTTATGAATTGTCATGTAAATATCTGATATGCAGGATGTATTTTCATTGTTACAAATTGAACATAATTAAAGCACAGCGATTAAGCACAAAGCAATATGTAATTATATATTGTGAAATATTTGTGTTTTCCGATGGTCTTAGACGACCCCTGTGAAAGGGGCGTTGGACCCCCAAAGGGGTTGCGACACACAGGTTCAGAACCGCTGGTCTCGAGAGTTCAAAATGATACCTTGGAAACTGAAAGATGCAGACTCACCTGCCCACTCCCCACTCCCTACCAGCCATGAGGCCAGGTAACCAGGGGCAGTGCCATGGTGACAGGGACCGCAGCTGTGACTGGGAGGTGAAAGGGATCGACAGGGCTCCCAGACAGGGTTCTGCTTACCTCAAATGCAGCCTGAGCCCATAAAACTGTGGTCCCACAAAGCCCAGCCCATCAAGAAAGAACTACAGAGCACTGGGCTCTTGGGCAGAGAAGCCCTGAACCTAGACTATGGGGGAGAGGTACTTACTACACCGTTAGGAATGAAAACTCAAGAAAACAAATTGAGACCCAGAGTGAGAAATCCTTTGGGGAACAAGCCTTAACACTGTCCTGGGATGATGATGAATAACAGCAGACAGAGGAAGAGGGGCCACTGTTGTAGGTTTCAGGAAATACATGCTTCAACTTGGCTGAGGTGTCTAGACCTACAGTCTACTTTGTCTTAGCTTTCTAATACTGTGAGTAACTTAAGCCTTCTGTGAAAGGCACAGAGATCCCCAAAGGCAACCTCCCAGAGCTAGAACAACCGAGGTGTGAAGGAGAGCTGTAAAAGGCTGCAGCATCCCGTGTGCCTGGGGGGACAGCCACTGACAGTTTTACAGCAGGTAACAGAGGAGAGAAATCACAAATGCACTAGGGAAACTGATCTTGTCAGAGTTCATTACTCATCGACTAAACAAGTAGGCAACAGGATGTGCCACCCCAAAGTGACTGGACAGCCCACCTACAGGAAGGGACATTGACAGACGGAGCGAGGTTGCTCAGTAAGGTGCCCTGGTGGGATAGTGGTTATGTATTGGGCTGCTAATGCAAGGCCAGCGGTTTGACACCAGCCACTCCAAAGGAGTAAGAGGCTTTCTACACCCACAGAGCTACTGCCTCGCAAACCCTCGGCCCTACAGGGTCATTTTGAGTCACCATTTTGAGTCGGCTCAATGGCAGTAAGGGAGAGGCTGCCCTGAGTCATCCTTACAGGTTGTTCCCAGTGCAATAAAGCTAAGGTGCAGCAGCCAGCGCCAACCCAGCTCCCAGAGCCGTTACACATGCGCCACTCGGCAAACAGATCTGCGCTACTAACCAGCCCTTTGGACAGCAAGGTTGCATGCCTCTACGAGTGGCCAGGGAGCCAAGAGAGCCCAGACAGTGCTGTCACCAGGGTTGTATGTCACTCGGGGCCACAGCCCCACATGGACTCCTCCTGTAGCTGACTGTGCGGAATCTTTACTGATGCGTATCATCCAAGTTAATCATAGAATAATAGCTGATTTTTTGAAAATTGCTAAAATGTATTCTTTCTTAAATTATATGAATACAAGTGGTAGTTTTGGTAAAAATCTTTCTACATTGAATTGCGACATTATTCTTTAGAACATTATTAGTAACTGAGAAGAACTTTTCCCCCTTATTTGCTTTAGTTGCTTCATTCTTTAAAAAGTTATTGATTGGGACAGTCACAAATATTAACGCAACACTAGCTAAACCACCAGGAAATTAATAAAATTGGGCACTATAAACACATCGGCAACAGCAAAAACAACATCTGCTTGTAGCATTTGTAGACAAAGCCTTGTGATTCAAAGAGTCATTGTAACCGAGTAATAATGACAGCTCTGATCAGAGCTAATTAAAAGGCTCAATAGTAAGTTGGCAAAGAGCGTCAACCTTGTAGGTATCTTGACCCACGTTAAGCTGGACTTATGAAAGATGTTTTTGTTACAACTCTAGGGATATTTTTATACACAAATAGTAGACTTCTGCTGAAATGCTGAACAAACCATTTTGGTGTCATCTAGTACGTTCCTGGCAACGTCACTGGGCCTGGAAGTCTGCTTTGTCTCAAATGGTTTTCAGGACATTTCTTCCACTTACAGTTAGACACTGAGCACTTCTAGGTTGCTTTCCTTGCAGCGTCGGGACAATTTTTTGCCCCTCAAGTAGAAAAGGACAGCAAACCACCTAAATGAGAGACTGTGAGGGAAGAACCTCGTTGTGAGGGGGCTTTTCCTTGGTGACCAATCAGAACCAAAGGCTTCTGGGATTTTCTGATAAGCTCCATAAACCGTTTAGAAAAGATGCTTTTTGTGCTAAAGCTTCATGCTCACCTCTTTATAATTTCAAACTCATCGCCTCCACTCTGATGCACAGTGACCAGAGTAGAAGTGCCCATGTGGGTTTCCAAGACAGTAACTCTTTAGAGAGTGAAAAGCCTTACTTCCCTCCCTTGGAGTAGCTGGTGGTGTCAAACTGCTGACCTTGCGACTAGTGGCAAACCACTGCGCCACCAGGGTTCCTTAAACCCTTTTTAATGATCCTTCGAGAAAGGGCCCGTCTGACAGGCACCCAGCAGGGGACAGACCAAGTCCAATGATGCAGACCAACATAAAGAAGGGGGAAAGAGGAGGGTCACAGTGGGGGGGGCCAAACACATTGGGGGGAACAGGGCGCTAATCCACCACGGGGAGGGTACACTACAGAGGACAGCACTGAAGATACAGCCCGGGAGAGCGGCATGTCTGCCCCGACCATGCAGGAGCAAGCTTAAGAGGGAAAGTGAGAGAGAGAAGGGTTAGAACAGCATCCTGGCCCACCAAGCTTCGAGGACAACATTCCCACTCAGAGCAGCCAATGCACATAGAGGACCGTAGGGTTGGCCTCACCAGGAGACACGATGTCCCCTTACTGACCCAAGCATTATGGAGGAGGGGAGGTGTAGGGGGGGAGGACAGAAGGGGCAGCACCGGAGTCACAGTGTGGGAATTGCACCCACACACACACCCATCAGAGCTTAATGCAAAGGGAGTGCAACAGAGCAGCAAAGGGAGCAAAGCAGCAAAGTCCCCGAGGAATTCTGAAAATGAACTTTGCACTGGGGGGCAGGGCTTGGCGCTACCATCAGACCCGGTTGGAAAACATTCATAAGGGTCAGCAGACAGAACTGGAACTATTCATAGGATATTTTTTGGTTTTGTTTCTGTTTCCTGTCTACCTATATAAGATAGACAGGATAAACAATCCCAAGGAGAAAGCAACAGAAACAACAGTTCCGGGCGGGACAGGGGAGAGGAGGTGGTGGGGAAAGCGAGGAGGAAGCCAATAAACCCAGGGACCCGGGAACAACTAAAGGTCTAAAATCAATGGAGAGGAGGGCATTAAAGAGAAATTACTGAGCGCAATCTTAAAGGCTTGAAGTAAAAGAAGTGGCCATCTAGCAGGGAAGCAATAAAGCCCACATACATGGAAGCAGCACACCAACCCGAGTGGTCACGAGGTATCCACGGGATCAGGTATCAGGCATCAGAAGACCCAAAACCAATCTGTGGACAACTGGACATCCCCTCCCAGAAGGGTCACAAGGAAGGGACACACTGCTACTCTCCTCCGCCCCGCCCCCCCACTATCATGACCCCAGTTCTACCTTACAAATCCAGCTAGACATGTACACTGGTACAAGTAAGAGTTCTCGACACACGGAATCGAGGACAGATAAATCCCTCAGGGCCAATAATGAGAGTAGCGATACCATGAGGGTAGAAAGAAGGTGGCGGGGAGAAAGGGGGAACCGGTTGCAATGATTGATGTATAACCACCCTCACTCCCACCCCAGGGGGATGAACAGAAACATGGATGAAGGGAGACAGTGGATGGTGTAAAAATAAAAATAATTTATAAATTATCAAGGGTTCATGAGGGCGGGAGGGAGGGGAATAAAGAGGAGCTGATACCAAGGGCAAAAGTAAAAAAATATTTTGGAAATGATGATGGTAACATGCACAAATGTGCTTGGTGCAATTGATGTATGGATTGTTATAAGAGCTGTAAGAGCCCCCAATAAAATGATTTTAAAGAGATTTTAAAAAATAGTTGAGCTAAAAAGCTAGAACCTCATGTTATCTTTACAAACTATTAAATGGTTAATGTTAGCAACTTAGAGAAAGGGCCCATCTAGAAAATTCAGCAAGGAACTTAAAATTCTCATCGACTCCATCCTTTCTGGAGTCTCTACAGCATCAGACTGACAGCAGTGAGACTAGAGGGAGCAATGGGTGGGGCGGGAATGGTCGCACAACTCAAAGACCACGGCAAGTGCCACTGGCCTGACTGCACATGCTGAGATGGCCGCATCGGGGCACGGTTTGCTACGTGTCTTCTCAACAACAACACTCAGCTAAGAGGAGGGGGCATCGCCCCATGGTGAGCCAGCTCCACGAGGGATGTGGTGTGAAGTGCTTCTACTTCTTCCTGGTGGGCAGAGCGCTGGAAGGGCAGCCGCATCTCATCTAATCGCCAGGCTCCTTTCAAGGTTTCTCAGAGAGAAGGCCGGATGTCCTGCTGGTGCCTCAAAAAAGGCTCTACTGATGCAGGGAAGCCATTCTACAGAAGGATGTCACTCTAGCTGCCGCTCTCCCTGAGGCGGGCATGCTTCCCGGGGTGAGGTCCTCGTTCATCTCTTGCCCAATGCTAGGTGAGATCACAAGGCTGTCGGCAGCCTTGGCCCGGACAGGCCTGTTGAGGCAAGGGCAGCAGACGCCTGACGGGACCCGACTCATCCCACAAACTGGGCTCAGTGATTGATAACCAAGAAATGAAAACACGACACCACTTCCACTGAGCCTTTGGGGGACGGTTGCTGTTGGTTTATTTTCTCTCGGCCTGACCTTTGCCCGTGGCACTGGGCTAAGAGAAGAGCCGGGCCCCTGCCAGGGATGATGTCTGAACCCATCATCCTCAGTTTCATTTCCTCCGATTCTCCAAGCAAGAGGCCCGCACCAGCCAATGAACCCCAGGGTCAGGGCGGAAGTGTCTTCATTTAAAGTGGTTGCCAGCTCCCAGAAGAGTGCAGTCACTTTGAGAGAGGAAAGAAATGTTTGGGCGCCTGGGCCCTAACCTAGTCCAGGCCAGCACCCACAACAAAACATGGGATATGGAAGCTGCCAGCCAGGGGCACCAGGCTTGGCAGTGACTCACCAAATGTAGAGGTCTCCTTGTCACCCCCAAGAAATATCTTGAGGAGTGAAAACGTACTTTGAATCATAGCTCTTATTAACACTTACTCTCTGCTTTGAATACTGCCAACAGGTGATCTGAGATTAATTCTTCCACCGAAGATTCTAGCTTCCGTTCTCCATCGATGATCCAAGGAGTTTGTGGTAGATTCCTGGAGTATTTATTGTATCTCCCTACCAAAGAAGGGACTGGTGCGATTAACCCGCAGCATACAAAGAAAAGCAACAAGCCCTTACCATGTGCCACCCCCCTAGGCGCTATCGTACACAACAAGGCCTAACCCTAGGCTAACTTATCATCTAATTTGGGGAGCGAGGACACACAGGTAGATAAGTAAAAAGATCTACAGGTAACAAGAGATGACTAAAGGCATGACAGGAATGGTGTACCCAAGGAGTGCTAAAGGTACGCTCAATAACATGAATTATTAGTCGATCGGATTGGCTGATTGATCGGATAGGCTGTCATACAGTAGGATGCACCAAGGGCCACTTTAAAACCGAGCAAGTCATACTTTTACATCTGATTTGATAACACATTCGAAGTAACCATCATTGGTGGTGCTGTATGCGAAAGAGTTTGAATACAGGAAATTCTGAAGTTTTGTAAAACCCACCCTACCAGAACATGGCTCACAGCTTTGTGAATCAGGCTAGGTGAAGCCAGAAGCCCGTCCCTGCCCCCAAGGCAGGGTGCTACAGCTGCAGAGCCATTTCATTTTAGCTATCTTAAGAAATGCAGAGAACTTCCAGAACAAGAATTTTTCTGCCAGATTACCTCCTGGGAAAGCCAACGTAACAAGGTGGTGGTGTTCAGGCAGAAGCTAAAAGTGCTGAGTCATTCTGGAGTAGAACCTTTTTTTTTTTTCCCTCCCACGTTGGCTTTGCACTTTCCTCCTGAGCAGTCCTGGATTCCCACCCACATCTACCCCTGTTCCCAGTTGGCTCTCTTTGGGGAATTCTGGAATCCTTGGGCCTGACACCTCACACAGCCTTTTGCCCCACAGATCCGAAGGCTGCCCTGCGGCCAAGAAGCAGCTAAACTCACGGCGTCGGAAGAGAGTAACAACCATCACAACAACACAGAGAAGGGGCCACGGGGCTTTCAGAGAGGAGAGCGGGTGGACAGTGGAATTAGACTCTAGACTGAGTTGTTACCAGCCACGAAGACAGCACCGTGGGCACATTCCATTTCAAGCACGGAGCACACGGCCTTGGGCGGGTTTGGAGGACAGGGAAACCACCTGCAGAACAAAGCACACGTTACGGCTTCTGTTTCTCAGACAAGAGACTGGATCCCGTCACTGAGATGGGTCCGCTCAAGCACAGCCTGGGTCTGTCTGTCTGTCTCTCTCTCTCTCTCTCTGGGACAAAGCCTCTCCCTAGCTGTCTGCTTCAGAGCAATGCAGGTAGACCCCTTGGGCCTCGGGGCAACCACTCTTCATGCACGGTGGGCCAGCCTGTCTTAGGGAAGCCTGGCTCCGCACCACCTTGTGTGTGCCCCTGATGATCACTTCCAACAGCCCCGGGTCTGTGAGGTGGAAGCCTGCCGGGGCCCTCTCCATTCTGCTGCCCACAGACGCTTGCTGCTGGTTCACGTGACCCCTCTCATCTGGCACCGCTGCATGCTGGGCGCCTGGCCGCCTAAGTCAGCAAGCCACACCGTCCTTTTTTCCCTCCCTCCTCCCTTCTCCTCCCCACCCAGGCCTTCGGGGATCAGATCACAGAGGCAGACGGAGCAGAGCATGGCAGTGCTATGCTATCGCTTTACTCTCTCTCCACCATCTGGGAACTTCCAAAGTCACACGTGGGGTGAGAATCCACCTGTCACTAGCGATACGCATTTAACCCCCCAAATGTGGTGCTTGGGATTCTCATTGAGTTCCCGAGATGTCTTCGCAGGGAAATCGGTCAGAAACTCGGATCTATCGCTTGTATGGAGGAGGGCCTCCACTCTCCACTCTCTACAATGTAAGGAAATGTATTTCCCGTAGGCGGCTCAGGTTCAAAGTCAGCACCAGTGAACAAACACACACGAACAGTTGGTGCCAACTCACAGGAGCCACGCTGGTCAGGGGGCAGGTGGGGTCCTCCCAGTTCTTGCTCACAGGAGTCTCCAGAAAGAGACGGCCTTTTTTCTGAGGGGGCTCCGGCTGAACTCAATCACCACCCTGCTTGTAGGCAGCGGAGTGTCAGCTGTCTGCCCGGCCCACAGTGAGCTACAGGGCGCCTTGCTCCTCTCATGATTAGACGGACCTCCCGGAGGACGCTCCGGAGGGATAACTGGGACAATGAGGGTCACCGAGTACAATGAGGGTTCTGAGACGTGTAAGACCTTCTGTGTTCCAGCATATTTTCATAGGCGAGGACCCTCTAGGCGCTCCAGGATGAGGGTGTGAGGGACCCACTTCCAGGCTTGCTCTGAGGACCCGGGCGAAGGCTGGGGCAAGGTCAGGCCCTTTTTGGATCTCAACCTCTCTTCTACCAGAGTGCCGGGTTATTGCTAGATTCAGGTATTAGTCTGACAAATACTTATCGAACACCAACACAGCCCAGGTAGTAGGCCAGGTGGGGGATACAATGGTGACCCCCCCAAATCCCAGTCCCTGAACACATCTCGTCTTAGATGAGGGTCACCCTACCCAGACTTTCCCGAGCAGTCGCTTTACTCTAAGATGCCCTATGCTTCTTTGTTTCTACTTACTTGAGGAAATCCTCTTCTTTTATCTGACTCAGCGCTTTCATGACCGCCATTCTGGTGAATACCGACTAGACGCGGTGGAAGGAAAAGGAGACGTTTCATTACTTAGACGAGAAAACAGCAGAGGTGACATGAGAACACGGTGGGACAAATTCGGTGGTTTCATAGACTTAAAAGGAGGCGATACTTCATAGTGTCCCGAGAATAAATCACACGGAAGCCCTCCTAACATCAGTTCCGTAGTCAGCATGTCTCAACAGCCCTTCGAACTAGTCTGTGTGTAACACACCAGCTAGTTGTGGGGCTCCGGTCTCCTTCACTGGTATGCCCCACTCTTCTCGGAACGGCATGTTTTTCCAATACCAAAGTGATGACGTTGCAAGAAACGCACTTCAAGCATCCTCTCCCACCCAGGCTTCAAGAAGAAAGTAGACCGATCCACCCGCCTTTTCTTCCCAGTGTCACCCTCCTGAAGCCACAGGAGAGAACCGAGAAGCTGACTGCCAAGGTAGGAATGAGCATCAACACTGCCCTGGCACCTAGCACCTGAACATCACTCAGCGGCTACAGGCAGACCTGGCAAGTCCACCGCGCCACACAGAAGGGCATCTGCTGTATTACTCTGGGTGCTTCCAATAAGCGAGGACCAACGTGGTCCCTCCTGGGACGGAGCAGTGCATACGCAGGGCATGTACACTTGTTTACCACCATTCATCACAATGATGTCTTCCATTATGAGAAATTACACTGAATTGAAAAGGAGGCCCATGCAGGCCTCTCACCAGTTTCTCATCAGACAGGCAATGATCTTGTAAGGCAGACTCTGGGGTGCCCCAGGGAGTTCTACAAATCACATTAGGGGTAAAACTGAAAATAAGCGCCTGCTATTAGACAAAAAACCTCAAACTCACTGCTACTGAGTCAATTCTGACTCATGGTGGGGACCTGTCCCCCACTTTAGGTTCCGGGACTTTTAAAATCTTTATAGGCACACACAGCCTCATCTCCCTCGGTGCGGGAGGTGGGTTTGAACTGCTGACCTTGTGGTTAGCAGCTCAAAGTCTCATCTGCTAGGCCACCAGGACTGCGAGACTCTCAGAAAGTCATCCCATTTACTCCAAGATATCAAGCGAGAAAACTACATTTCAGACCTTACAACTCCCATTGGTCAAATGGCCTGTACGATTTTTGTAAAATACCGCTTTATCCTAGTATTTAATGCTGGTACTTCTTTATTTCCTCAGCGATAACAAAAATAAAGCTGAGTCTCCAATATGAGCATGGCTTAGAGGTCACCTGGGCAGAGATTCCCAACTAGTATGGTGAACTGAGGCTACCGGAGAACGCAGATGCGGATCCTTCTCGCTCCCCAGGGCTCTGGGGCCCTCCAGGCCTGCCCCCTCTGAGCTGGACCAACCTCAGGTGCCTGAACAAATGTGGCAACAATGTTCTAGTTGTGTCAGGACGTGAAAAAGGGAGAGGTGCTGCTTGGGCTTGCCCGTAGTTCCTAAAGATCTCGCCCTCACTAGCGGCTTCTGCATGGAGCATTGAGCACATGTTCGCAACTAACTGTCCTCGGTTCTGAAAGGGCCGGCAGGAGTCCGAGCAAAACAGAAGACAAATAGATGCTGTTTTTGAGGAGAGACTCAGACTTTTGCTCACCACTGTAAGAATCAAAAGTGATGTGCGTATAGTACGTGGTAAGTGGCAACGCTCGGATACCTGCACAAAGCCGGCCGAGCTGGGGGTGCCATACAAGGTCCTGCCAGGTGGGTGTACAGACCCACTCAACAGCGCCTAACGAGAAGGGTGTGAGTCAACTGTCCTTTTTGTGAACGAAGCCTGAAATGTTGTCGTTGGTCTTGTCGGGGGCTGTCAGCTCAGGGCGAGCCCACCTGATGAGAGGGAATTGCCCTGCTTGTCTAGGCCATCACCTTCCCAGGAGCACGTGGCGGGCCTTTTCTCCACCAGAGCCAACAGGTGGGTTTGAACCGCCATCCTCCCAGTTAGCAGCAAGTGCGCAACCTCTGTGCCACTAGGGCTCAACTAATATGAATTCTCATTTGTTCAGGAGTAGTCTCAGTAAAATCTTCTACTTTGGATCACATTTTTAAAACACACGTTTCTGGAACTATTGATAGGAAACAAATCATTTGGAATGCTGTTGAGTAGTTTACCAAGGATTTTCCCAGATGATATAATGTTGGGATTAAAAAACCTCAAATTTGAATGTTCCCAAGGGATAACAGGAATGGTTGCCCTCAATTTAAATGACATGAGGAGTTTTGGACAGTTTCTACACCCCTAGCCGGTGTGGAGAAGTTACGAACACACACACACACACACACACACACACACACAGCAAATGGAAGTATTTACAGGCTGAGTCTGGGTGTGCCAGGGCTGCTCCGTGTCTAAGACACCTCTCCTTTTTGTTGTTAGTCTGAAGCTCAGTTTAGTAGAAACTCACAGAAGGGTAAGAAGTAAAAATGAATCCTTACCTGCTTATTTTTAGCTGGCTTGAAGCAATCTGGGCATATGGTGCCTCTAAAATAAAATTCAAGTTCACATACATGGTTAATGAGTTCCTTGTGGGGTGGGTATAATTCACACATATTTTAAACAACATGGCTGCTTCACTCAGGATGTTTGAGGCAGACGGAATGAACCCCTATCTGAGTTGGGCTGGTCAGCGTAGGCCCTTGGGCTGCAGGGCACATTTTACACCCCCAGGACATGGCGAGAGCCCACACGCTCATCAGGAAGGAGAGCAGTACTGTTTTCATGAAAACCAAAGACCATTATAAAAACACTACACAACTGACATGCTTGTTGACAGAGCAACTTACAGGAAGTGGCAATCCTCGACTGTTTCTGGGTGGGCGAAGACCACGCTCACTTCAAACAAGCTCTGAAAATCATACAGACAGTTTTAAAATGAGCAAAGGGAAACCGACATCTGACAATTTGTGAATGAAATAGAAAGGCGCTCACAAAGGTCGGCTGGGAGAAAGTGGCGAGGAAAACTGGAGATGCGACTGGCTCTAAAATCAGCCTATTTGTAGCGCGGCTGTGAAGCTTAATTTTTTAATTTCTAAAACTAAATCATTAGTGATCTTGCCAAAATAATTTTTTTTCCAATAAATTTTTAAAGGCCAGATTTTATTTTATTTTGTGGGCGTAAGGTGGGGTACAAATATATAAATTAGATGTAAATAAGAATTGAGGGACTGGGAAGGAAGCAGTCACTGAAAAAGAGTTGTTTCTGTCCGCATTATGATTAGGGTCATTAACAATGCAAAAAACACACTCATTCTGAGGCTTTGAGTTCGGAACGCTCAAACTCCTTAATGGGTTTGAATTTTTTTTTTTAAGATCATTTTATTGGGGGCTCTTCCAGCACTTATAACAAACATACATCAATTATAGCAAGCATATTTGTAATGGGTTTGAACTTTACAAGAAAGGCCTACCTTTGTTTGTTTTATTACAAAAGCGTTACATAGAAGTAATCGCACACAGGATGGCCTTCAATCCCACTTCAATAAAAACAATGTGGCAGACTTCTAGCTCTTCCTTATGAATGTAGACATTTATGTATATACTTCTAGGGATATTAACAATGCTTTTTGAAAAGTGCACCATTCAGTGTATAGTGTATCATTGACAACTGTTTAACAATTCATAAGTATGGAATATTTACATTGTACAACATTTTTGTACCTATCAAGAACATATCCTCTATAAACACCTATCTATACAGAGAATTGACAAAATTTCACATTGAAAAAAAGTACATGAATATCATACAGATGTTATGTCTTTTTACCTTTTTATTTGAGTTCTGATCTCTCTTTACCAGGTGAGCTATCACCAAGCCTGTGTGTTAGAATCACAATAGTCAACAGGTTTTTTTCCTCCTGTTTCCTACTCTAATCTACAAAGTAAAACTTGAAATGAACAACATTCCTTTTACTTGAGAAAAGTTGATTTTTTTAGAACAGATTTGCATCTTTTGTTTTCTCTTTTCTGTTCTAACTCAACATGTAACATTATTTGTGCTTCAAAACTGAAATTTGAGGTAAAACTACTTTGCATCGATGATTTCTCTGATTCCCAGAGTGCTCTCATTGCCTCACTTCCTTTTCTCACTATCTGTGAGGTGGTGTTAGGCTCAATTCGCTCAGCATTCTGCTTAAAGGACAGCTACGGCTGATTCTTATTAACGCAGGGAAAGAAAGTTACATAACTCAGGGTGGCTTAAAAACAGAGATATAAATAAACCTATTTCCTTTGAAAGACGATTTGTGACATTACTTGAACAGGAGTGTGTCTACTATTCAGGGAACTTCCTTCAAGCTAAACATTGAGGCAACACGGCCATACTATTACAATCTAATTTCGAGAAAGCTGGGAAGATGTTGTTTCCACAGTGGGACGCTGTTGCACTCCTCGGAAATCCAAATGATTGCAGACAGTGAGGCCTGGTCTGCTCTGGAATAGGATAGGGGCCATGGCCACGTGTTTCCGTTTCAACAGCAGGGACAGGTACAAGAAACAGGGGCTCAAGCTGCCAGCAAGGTTATGGCAGGAAGAGCCCACCTGCGTACAGGTTCTGCCTCCATAGTTGGTAACAAGATTAGTCAGAGTTAGACCAAACTTAAACAGTCCAGCCTTGTCCCTACAGTCACTTGGTTACTTGTAAATTGCTTTGTCTCCACAAATCTATCTTTCCAATTAAATTATACATACTAAGGTGAATTAAAAAGAATTGCTACTGATTCACAGAAACCTCTGTTAAACAGAAGGATCAACATGGGAATCATTGTTTTGTTTCTTGACATATCTCCCGTCCAGGTCTGCATACTTCTGGAAGGAGTGTTTCCATCTCTCCAACCTTCCCCATCAAGAATTCTGAGCTTTTCAATTTACACCAAGTGAAAAATGGCATCTTTGACAGAGTCGGGGGATGCAAATTGAGTGCCTTTTCAAAATTGAGTCTGAGGAACAAAAATAAGTCTCAAGAGGCAAGATCAGGCCACAGGGGAGATGGGGCAAAAGGGTACCAATGAAATTCGTGTAGGGCATTCAGTCCTGCTACCCGCCAAGAAAGAGCAGGTGCATTGTCATGATGGACAAGTCATCTCTGCCTGGCACTGAACTCGCGCAGCAGAGCCCACGGAGAAGCCAGTGCCATCACTGAAGGCACCACATGGAGACACTAGAGAGGACTCGCCTGGAAACAGAGACGGGTTTAGATCGGTTTGCTTAGGGGCTGGGATGGACTGGAATCCTGGTAGCAACACTTTTTGACTTATCAAAGATTCCGTTCTAACCTTTAAAGGTCAATTAGGTTGCCCTGCACCTGTTACCCTTTTCAGTATCTTGGGAAAGCAAAAATAAGGAAGGCTTTAACTTCAGTGATAGACCGTTGAGGTTAACATTTCAAAAGTTTAAAAAGTCTTCACTGGGGGAAAGAGGAGTCCTTGTGCTACCCATAATGACATAAAACCAGAGAACAAAGCTGACAATGCCGACAACCCGATACCTTTCCGTCGATGGGCACGCCCAGTTCCTCTGAAAACAGGGGGTGAGTTATCCATTTGTAGGCTTCTTTCAGCTGAATTATATCATTCCTTCCCAGCGACAGACTCTGTTTTCTGAACAACATAAAAATCAATTCACTGGCACACAAAAAATTCACTTTTTCTGTTAGAGGCAAGTATACCTATAATTATTTTTAAATATTTATTGAGTGTCTACGAATGTGCTAGAGACGAAGTAGAGAACACAAGTGACCAAAACGGCTTACCTCATGGATCTGACATTCTAGTAGGATCAAAGAACTACTTCTTAAAAGGCGAATCTAAACGCATCAGCCGAGTGACTCACGCTGCGTCCTCACAGTGCTTTCCCGACCAACCAAACTCACGGCCCTCGAGTCGGTGACGACTCACAGAGACCCCATAGTGTCCAGGTGTAACTCTACAGGTGGAGAAAGCCCCATGGCATTGGTTTCTGAGACTGGAAATCTTCATGGAAGACAAGACAGACTCATTTTTCTCCCACCGAGCTGCTGGTGGGCTTGAACTGTCCATCTTATGGTTGGCAGCTGAATGCCTAAACCTCAACGACACCAGGGAAAACTTCCTAAATCCTGTAGCATCAATGTTCTAACATGCTCATCCACCTAGCATTAGGTGTCTGTGGTAGGTATATAATTGTCAATTTAAGGATTAAGCATCTAGGGGTGGAGTCTAGCCTGTCAATCAGATTGTAGCCAATGAGGCTTCTGTGTGGGCATAGCCTCCCCCTAAGGATTCTGGGAATTCTGGTATTTTTCCTCCTTGGAGGTGGGAGACTCTCTGCACACACCCTGGGAGACATAGCAACTGACAAGACATATGGACCCACCCTGAGGCAGCCCTGGGTGCTGGAGAAGCCATGCAGAGACCCCTGCCAGCACTGAGATGCTTCCAATGCCACTGGATCCAAAGACTTTCTACCCACTGGCCTGTGAACTTCTGCATTCGGCGTCATTGCATGTGCTTCGTGAGTCTGAAGAGGACTTTATAGACTGGTATCTGACATATGGGCTAATGATTTATGGACCTGATCTGGACTGGGCTGGGATGTTTCTCAATGTTCAGTTGCTCTTGTGTATAAATCTCTTTCTTATACACATATGTGCGTCCATGGATTTGTTTCTCTCGTCTACCCAGACTAACAGTGTCTCAATAAAAATCTGACATTGCCTTAAACTAGGTTTGGGGAAGCTTCCATGATGAGCTCTCGTCTTAGTTCATAACATAAAATGTAGTGAAAAAAAGGGGGGCGGACGGAAGAGGGCAGGAAAACCCAGTGCAGAGCGCTTATTCAAACCGCTCCACCCCGAGAGGACTTGTCGGGTGACTGCTCCAGAGGAGCCACAATATCCAAAGTGATGATTTTTTCCTAAATTCCTGAAATTGCGTCATTGAAATTCTTCTACTCACTTCTGAACCTAGACCAAACCAGGGCCGCTGAGGGAAAAGATGAGTGTCCTGTATTTCTTCTGTTCCAGTATCCTTGAGTTGATCAGACTTTTGGGGAAGAACTTAGTTTAAAAAGTCTTTGATCAGGAATGAAAACCACATACAAGCAACATGTGGTTACAAATGGCCAATATTTAGGCACAGCAGCAGTGGCCATACTAAACAAACTTCCCAAGCAACCGTTCGGTCAAATTTGGTTGGCAGGCCAGTTCACAAGCATTTGAGACGGAGATAAATTAAATCCCCAAAGCTTCAGTAAATATGTGACTGTCACTTTTAGAAATGCAGATGTGAACTACAAAATAATATCATTTGCCCCAGTGTACGATGCTAATATAGTGACCGGTAGAAACGTAAGTTATCCCGCTCTCTGCGCTTTTCTCTCCAAAGCACACAGGAACCTTTGAACGTCATGGGCCGCCTTTATATACTTGAGCAGATTTCTGGTTTCCAAATGCTAAAAGCTCTAGAATAGTGGTTCTCAACCTTCCTAATGCTGCGATCCTTTAATACAGTTCCTCATGTTGTGGTGACCCCCCTCCCCAACCATAAAATTATTTTCGTTGCTACTTCATAACTGTCATTTTGCTACTGTTATGAATCATAATGTAAATATCTGATATGCAGGATATATTAGGCGACCCCTGTGAAGGGTTGTTCGACCCCCAAAGGGGTGAAACCCATAGGTTGAAAGTTAAGGGAGGGTGGGTGTTTTGCTTTTTTTTTAAGTTGGCACCCATATCCTCATCTGAATATCTATGGATGTTTAAAAAATTTATTAAACTATGGGTATTCATATGTATCATTAAAGAACTATCAATGTGTTAATAATACAGTATCACCCTAGACTTTAGAGGGAGGGGTATGCTATTTATTCTACGCTGAGTTTCTAAAATCCAAAATACTAAATTCCAGGTAAGGATAATGGGCGCATGTTTCCTATCTTATTTATTTATGTACCAAACCAACCAACCCACCAACCAACCAATCAATAAAAATATCATTCCTGTCGATGAGTCCATTCCTGGCCTGGTGGCTCCACTTACTTCTGTCGCCTGCTGACAAACACACTCACTGCTGTTCATGGTTCTTCTGCCTTAAGTAGGATTTCGCTTTGCATCTTTCAGGACATAGTTAATTTTTTTTTACATAGTTAATTTTTGCCAACTTTCTAGAACCGATGTAGAAATTCATTCTTGTAAGATAAACTGCCCAAGTTAATCACATATAAAGTGTGTGCACGGACACATTCAATCTATTCTTACAAAGCTTTAATGAAGTACAAATATGATATGCAAATGACCCGATTTTAAGAAGGTTGGCATCTTAAAGTGTATTCAGTCCACATTTTCTCTCTACAGCCTTTTCTCCAGTCAAGAGCAAGCTCACTCTTGAGAGCGAGCAGTGATCACAGCGTGCTCTAAGGAGGTGGAGCTGCTGGATGTAATGGGAGTGAAATCCCGGCCTGAAGTACTTACCCCCGCTCCTGCTTTACCCGCAACCAGGCAGCATGCTGGAGGCCAGTTAGTCACACCCAGAAAGAAGAGAAAGGGGGGAAATACTCAGTGGAATTAAGCTTCAGTAACATTATTAAAGCATTTCACTAATGAGCTAAGCAAACTCCCCTTGTTGGGAGAGGAGTCAGGGTTCAACACGAGGCAGTGACCTCAGTCTCATTCAAATTCAGAGACGAGGCCAGACTGCACCTGGCTAGGCGGACTTGCCCTCAACCAGGAATCCAGCAAAAGTACCTCCCACCTTCCCTCCTACAAATTGCTATTCCTCATTAATGAGGTCAGAATGTTTTCAACATGCGGAGCTTATACTTTCATGGGGGGGGGGGGCCCAAAGGGACTAGAGTACACAATCCCTACAACATAGACTTGAAGGTTTCAGTTTGGGTTTGCTTAAATCGTTTTTAATTAGAGGGAACACATTTTTCACTATCTTGTTAATGCACTTTGAAATGCATCAAAAACAGGAGGGTGGTGGAGAGCTAACCCTATAAAAATCAATACAGATCAAGACCACTGCACACTCTAGGCAGGTGTATGGGTGCTCACTGTACCCTCCTTTCAACTTTCTCTCCGAAAATTCTCAACATCCTGGAGGCAAAGTTCTGGGGAGCATTAGTAAGAATCAAGACTCGTAGAAGACCACTCTCTCAATCAGGATTGTCATGAGATGAAATGTAACCCATCCATATAAGGTGTCGTCAGCACTGGGTAAGTGTGCCTCTATGATTTCTCTGTTTTCCACAAGACTCCCTTGGCTCTCACCTTAACATAACCTCATGCTATTACCTCAGTCTTCTTCAGAGTCAATCAAATGCCTCGGGAACCCTGCCCTTTGAAAGACTTGAGCCTCCCTCCAAATGACCAGCGGGCCCCCTCAAGGCTTAGGAAGACAGGCCCCCAAACTTACTTAGCCTACCACCCCCTTTTCAGAAAAAAAAATTATTCAGTGCCCCCTCTGGCCATTAAAAACGTTTGTATGCTACCCCATAAACCAAGATAAAGTATAGGTATCTGCTTTTGCCCCTCCCCCATTATTCCAGCAGCACCACCCCCTCCTAGGGTTGGTATTATCCACTTCAGGAAACTACTGAGCACCATTGGAAACATTAGTTGCATTAATTTGTTCAGCACTAGCTGGGTGAGTCACTGTGTCATTGCTGCCTGCATGCCTCTCTGTACTTCCTGGTTACTTGGTTGACTCTAGTGCAGGGGTTCTCAAACTTTTTAAACAGGGGGCCAGTTCACTGTCCCTCAGGCTCGTTGGAGGGCCAGACTATAGTTAAAAAAAAACAAAACTATGAACAAATTCCTATGCACACCGCACATATTTTGAAGTAAAAAAACAAACAGGGCAAAAACACCCGGCAGGCCAGATAAATGTCCTTGGTGGGTCGCATGTGGCCTGCGGGCCGTAGTTTGAGGACGCCTGCTTAGTAGCTCAACTTACTTCCAGACTCCTTTCTTACATGTACTCAAACTCTCTACAAGGCATTGAGGCTTGAGGTTTAATGGAATATCTCAAACTCAATTTCTTAAAGAGTAAACCCAGAGAGTTGGACTAAGTTGCATTTAACTTTTCTGGATGGTTAATGGTCATCAATGATGGGCATGAGTTAGAATACAGTTTTCCAAATCTAGACCGGTTGCCAGAGAGCTCACTCGAATTTCATAGCAGCCCCGGGTGTCTGAGCAGAAGTGCACTAACGTTCTCAATGGCTGTTATCTTTTTGGAAATAATCTGCCGGGCCTTTCTTCTGAGAATACAGCCCTGGCGGCACAGTGGATTATGGATTGTACTGCTAACTGCACGGTAGGTCGCTCAAACTCAGCAGTCACTGTACAGGAGGGAGATGAGGCAGTCTCCTTCCATGGAGATATGCAGTTTTGGAAACCCCAAGGAGCATTTCCACTCGGTCCCACAGGGTCACTAGGAGTCAAAATCATCTCCGTAGCAAATAGTTTGGGTTTCAATCTTTACAGGGATTTTGTGAGGATTTAATAAAGTTGTGTATTTAAAGACCAAGTCAAACTCCTGGTATGCATTGAATCCGCGGCCACTATTATCGCTGCACAGAACCTAAGTGGTTAAGCACTTGGCTGCTATTGAGAGGTCGGCAGTTTGAACCCATGCACCACTCCATGGGAACATGTAGCTGAGTCGGCTCCCTGAAGGGTGACGGCCTGGGGGTAGCTCTATCCGGTCCACTTGGGTCCTTCTGAGTCAGAACCAACTCCATGGCACACGGCTGCTACCGTGCTCTTGCCAATTCGAAACCTCGCCTCCCATTTCTAAATAACATTTCAATTTATCCTTTGAGAGATTTACAGGATGGATCCCAGCCTTTAATATTCCCAAGCTGTTGTATAGGTAGTCCGAGAATCTCCCTCTCCTCCAGGAACTCCTGAGGAGCAGCTGAGCTGCCAGGAGTGCCTGGGTGGCACCTCCGGAGCAAGACCGCTCCATCTGCTTGCAAAGGCCCCAGTGGGCAGAGCCCTCTGCAGCACAAGGGGCTGTTTCGGTCAGAAGTGACTCCGAGCACCGGTGAACTGAGCTGCTGGCGCTTCTCCCCCTCAGTCAGGGCGGACGGAGATGTTTCTGCCCCCCAGGACCACTTCCTCTCCCCCTGGGAGGCAAAGTGTTCCCTACAGACACTTGCAGGTGATGCCAACCTCTGATTATAAAGTCGGGCAGAACTAGAGGTTGCCAGGGGAAATCAGAGAGCCACGTGGGACTTGGAAAATTAAATCAACTTGCCAGCGGGCTTTTCCCTTCCTGCGCCTCGGCAGGCCTGGAGCCCCAGCAAGACAGCCGGCGGACAGAGGGCGGGAGGCAGAACCCTGCGATGGTGCAGGACCTGTGTTTTCACCACACGCCAGCAACAGCCTGCACTGCTTCTGCCGAGGAAAGAAGTTCCGTTTTGCCCTGCGGGTCTCCATGACCACTTCAAAAGAGGTTCCGTTACTCCGCTGGCAGAAAGAGCCATTCTCTGGGGTAGGCGTTTTAATCCCCTGCTCCCCAATACAAGCGTGGAAGTTATCAAGTTTAAGCAAATGTGATACAAAAGGCTGTATGTCACCTCTTGAAAAGTCAGGAACCATACAAAATAACCCTGGCTCTACTATGAATTGATTAGAGGATCTGGGCAAGTCCTAAATGGGGACACTGGGTAACATCCTGATACCTCCATCTCCCCTTACCATTCCCCGGCGAGGCCTCCCCCCACCCCCTCTCTCCCCCTCCACCCCACCCCACCCCCATCCCACAGCACGGCTGTGGAGCTGGCGGTTCAGATCTGAGGTTTCCTCCGTGCTAAGGAGAGGGGGCCAGAGATGGAGGTGCATTCAGGCAGTAGTGACAAAGGAAGGAGACAGACACACAATTGGAGCTTAGCATACGTGCAGAAATGAGAACGGGGAGGTGAAATGCCTCCACCCTTCAATCTTCCTTAGCAATTCCAACCCCTGCTAGTCCTCCCACAGCACCTTTACTTCTTAGCTGGATTCAATAACTCACTGCAATAGCCACACGGAACTCAGCCAATAATCACAATTACAGACTTATTAGGAACACTAGCAAGTTACAATTCAAGATCAGAAATGCTCAAGATACAGTTCATTGGTAGACAGCCTCTTCTCAGTCCTGCCCTGTTGGCCACGTGGCCCTTTGCCCTGTGCCCTTCTCAGGCAATGTTGCAATGATCTTGCAAGGCTGTCAAGGGACACACCACTCTGCCATAAGCCTCAGCCTAAAGCTACTCAGCTCTAGCTCCATAGGTTTCAGCAAATGAAGTGTCTGGAGATACTTTACTCTGCAGGCAGCCTCCCGGCCCAAGACACTCAGCCTTGCTGGCTCCATGGCCTGGGAAGCCCACCACCCTGTCTTGTGCGCTGGCTTAGTTCTGGTGCTGCTGCTCATCGGCCACTTCTCTAGTGTCATAGCTTTCTGTTCTTAGATCAAAGAGGTTCCATGTGCAGGGGTCTTGGGGCTCAAATGATACACCCCATTCCTAGCTCTTCCTTCTTGATGAGATCCTCCCCCTTCCTGCTTCTGCAATGGCTCATCTATACCCAGCAGGATGGCAAAATTGACCCAAGTTAGAGTTCCAGGTTTTTACAATCACCATGAACCCCACACACAGTCACTCACAAGTGAATCATATAATCCGATCAGCGTCTTCCTCCATCTTCTCTTACCAGACCCATCAGGAAAAAGTCTTTTGGTGCTTGTTTGAACAGCACCTATACTAAAACCGGAACAATACAGAGAAGATTTGCATGGCCCCCCGGCAAGGATGACACTCAAATTTGTAAAGCACCCCATATTTCCATTTGATTAAGTGGGGAGGGAGGAGTAATTTGGGAGGAGTTACAAAGACTGTGGTTGGAAGAGCCATATCAAATAATTCACTGCCTCGTGTCAGGGTTGGTCTCAGGCAGTGTGTCTGCGGCTGCAGGCGTGGTGGTAGAAAGAGGAAGGCAAGAGAAGCAGAGAAAATATCCTCCCGGAACAGCTGCTTGGCCCCTCATTGGGCTGGGGTGAAGGCTCCTGCGATCCCGTCTCATCACGGCCCCACTTCACTCCCCCTTTTCCACAGAGCCTCAGGCACCAGATCTGTGATGAAAGGACTATGACCGACGGAGTCTGGGTGTCTCTCTGATGAACACGACTTGTGTAGGCCATCTTGAAAAACTCCCCCAAACCCTCTATGTCATCGACCCCACCAGGGTTGACAAGAAAGAAAGTGAAGTGGGACCCAAGAAGAGACCGGTCCTTCTCACTCCAGGTTTCCCTACTACCGGAGAATGGCAAACCTCAACCCACGGCCCTCGAGTCACGTCCAACCCTCCTGACCAGACTCTGCAGGGTCTCGGGATGGTAAATCTTGAAGGGATCAGAGCCATCTTTCTCTGGCATAGTGACTGGTAGATTTGAACTGCCGACCTTGTGGTGAGCAGTCCAGTGTTGACCCCACAGACCTTCAAGGGTTCCTTAAGCCCTTTAAGTCAGTAGTTCTCAACCTTCCCCATGCCTCAACCCTTTAATACAGTTCCTCATGTTGTAGTGACCCTCAGCCATAAAATTATTTTCATTGCTATTTCATAACTGTCATTTTGCTACTGTTATGAACCGGGCAACCCTGTGAAAGGGTCGTTCGACCCTCAAAGGGGTTGCAACCCACAGGTTGAGAACCGGTGCTTTCAGTCATGTTAAGAAGAAGGGGAAGTTTTCTTTCTTGGAAAAGCACGAGCAGATGGGCAGGAGAACAATGAATGTGCAGGGCTGACCCAGGTACACAGTGTTGCTAACTTAGTTCTCAGGAGAAGGGCTAGTCCCCATTGCATTTTCCAACACTGTAACACTGCTGCTTACCTGGCTCTGAAGGATTTGATTTGAAAAATTCACACAAAGAAATTATTTGGGAAAGAGGGTTCTTTTTCAGAACATCTGCAATGAATGAAAGCCCCTGGGACCGGCAGAAATCAAGACAGAAATGGCTCAGTCGTTGTCCTGCTAACCAGAGGAGAGCGTCACAGCTGAATGTCAGGCAAGTCGAGAGTTAACCTCAGTGAGGCAAAGACTTCAACAAACATCTGTTGGGAAGAGGGTGTAACTGAGGAGGTGCAAATATTATTTCCTCCTCCATTCTGATTTTAGAGAACTACCTCCTCACTGAAACTAGCATCCTGTTCAACAGAAAGCAAATTTGCAGATTCAATTTCAATAGTCACAATTAAAACTGTATTTCAAATCCTATAGAACACTGAAAAAGCAGCCTACAAAAGTCACTTTAAATTTTGAAACGACAGAGAAATGCACTGTTAATTGTTGCGATTGTTAATTATTGAAAAAAGTATCTTTCAATCAAATACATCCAGAACTGTACATTACAAAGCGAACTACTTAAAAATCATTCCACATTACCATAGGAAAATTATGAAATAGAACATTTCATGTGCTGAACTTGATTTGCACTAAATACATTCTTAATTCTCAGGATTACAAAGGAATTAAATGGACTATATATATGAAGACAATGGAAAAGTTCAATTATCATGACAAGGCCAGAGGCCAACTGCAGAGCAGACCAACAATTGCTCATATTCCTCAAGTTGATGCTCAAGAAAAGTCAAATACACAAGAGGCGAAGTCCGACTTTGAGTATATACCACCCGGATCTAGAGACCGTCACATGAATTGATTTGTCGCATTGAATGATAATAACTGAAGACTAAAAGACTTGTGAGATGACATCAAGGACACGAAAAAACAAAAATTCATTAAAAAAAAAACAAGAAAAGACCAAAACTGATGAAAAAAAAATCATGAAACCTGCACTTAAACACAGAGTGGCCAGCTAAGTGGAGGAATGATGAAATCCAAGAGCTGGCCAGCTTTTTAAAGGGCAGCTCAAGAAAGCAAAGGAACATATTACAATAAAATGTACAAAACCCTGGGGTGAGAAAATCAAATGGGAAGAATACAGTTGGCATTTTTTTTTTAAATGGAAAGAACAGAAGAAAAATTCAAGTCTTGAGTAGCAATGTCAAAAGATTCCATGGGTGAAATATTGGATGATGTAGCAAGTATCCAGAGATGATGCAGGGAATATACAGAGTTACTGTATCAAAAAAAAAGAGTAAATGTTTAACCATGTTCACGATCATAAACCGATGGTACTGAAGAAGTCTAAGAGGCACTGAAGGGATTGGTGGAACACAAAGTTCCAGGAATTGACAGAGTTTCATCAAACAGGTGCAGTGCTGGAAGAACTCACTTGTCTATGCCAGGAACTTGGAAGACAGATACTCAATCAACTGACTCGAAGAGAATATTTGTGCCCATTCCAAATAAATTAATCCAACAGAACAAAAAAATTACCAGATATCATTAACATCAAAGGATCTAAAATTTTGCTAGATAGTTTAAAATTGGCTAGAGTAGTGTATCGACAGGGAACTGCTGAAAATTCAAGCCAACTTCAGAGGGGGACATGGAACAAGGAAGATCACTGCTGGTGCCAGATGGATCTTGGCTGAAAGCAAGAACACCAGGAAGAGATCCACTGTGTTTTATTGACTGCACAAAGGCACTTCACTGTGTGGCTCATAACAAATTATGGACAGCACTGTGAAGAATGGGAATTCCAGACATTTGATTGTGCTCATGGGGAACCTGTACAGACTCCAAGAGGCATTCCTTCAAACAAGGGGATCGTGCACGGAAGGGTGTGTGTCAGAGTTGTATCCTGTCGCCATATTTACTCTACCTGCATGTCACCTGAAAGGACAAACTGAGAATCTGGACCCTGTGGAGCAGAGCATGGCATCAGGATGGGAAGAAGATTAACAACGTGTGAGAGGCAGATGACACCGACTTGCTGAAAGTAAGGAGCATGCGGCAGCACTTCCTGACGAAGATCAGGTTACACCTCAACATAAAAATCCTCACAGCTGGACAAACAGTCAGCATCATGAGGAGTGGAGAAAAATTAGAAACTGTCAAGGATTTCATTTTACTTGGATCGACAAGCAACTCCCAGGAAAGCAGCAATCGAGAAATCAAAAAGCGTATTACATTGGATAAATCTGCCACAATAGACCACCTCCCTGTGTTGACGAGGAAAGATGGTCACTCTGAGGACAGAGGTGTGCGCAGCCCAACCCATAGCATTTTTTTTTTAATTTAGTCATTTTATTTGGGGCCCATACAACTCTTATCACAATCCATGCATCCATCCATTATGTCCAGCACACTTGTACATCATTGTTCGTTGCCATCATCATTCTCAAAACATTTGCTTTCTACTTAAGCCCTTGGTATAAGCTCCTCATTTTTTTCCCTCTCTCCCCGTACCCCCTCACTCATGAACCCTTGATAATTTATAAATTATTATTATTTTGTCATATCTTACACTGTCTGATGTCTCCCTTCACCCACTTTTCTGTTGTCCATCCCCCAGAGAGGAGGTTATGTATAGATCCTTGTAATTGGTTCCCCACGCCATAGCATTTTTAATAGTTTCATATGCACGTGAAAGCCGGACAGTAAAAAAGAAAGACTGAAGAAAAACTGATGCAGATGCCCTGATCTAATATGTACTTGTTCCAATCACTAGTATTTTCTGCTTTCTCTTCATTTGAGGTTTTTCTGTGTTTTATTGTCACTGTTGGCTCGTCTTTTTGTTTGTATTGATTTTGTATATTTTTCTGTATATGAAACTCAGGATGGGTAAATCTATAGACACGGAAACTGGATCAATAGTTTCCTAGGGGCCTGTGTGGTGTATGGCTATGTGTTGGACTGAGATCCACACGGTCGGCTGTTTGAAACCAGCTGCAGCTCTACTGGAAGAAGACAAGGCTTTCTACTCCAGTAAACAGTTACAGTCTCAGAAACCCACACGGGGGTCGCTATGAGTCAGTAATGACTCAATGGAAGTGGGTTTTGAGAGGGGCATGGCAGGGGAAGTTGGTAAGCAATACGGAACTAACAGCAATGAGTACAAAGGGAAAAAAATGTCCTAAAATTGATTGTGGTGAATGATTACACAACTCTTGAATGTGATTAAACTATTGAAATATATGATGTGACTTATGTCAGTAAAATTGTTTTAAAAATCTGATTTCTGTACACTAACAAAGCTCTGAAAAGAAATCAAGAAAGCAGTAATACTGCTCCTGTGGATTTCCAAGACTAACTTTTTGTTCCCCCTAAGACTAGCTCTATTTTTAAAAAATAATTTTATTGGGGGTTCTTACAGCTCTTATAATATTCCATACATCAATTGTTCCAAGCATATTTATACATATGTTGCCATCATCATTTTCTAAACATTAACTATCTATTTGAGCCCTTGGTATCAGCTCTCTTTTTTTTCCCTCCTCCCTCACCCCCTCCCACCCTCGTGACCCCTTGATAACTCATAAATTATCATTGTTTTCATGAAGAGTAACTCTTTAGGAGTGTGGAAAGCCTCTTCTTTCTCCCATGGAATGCCTAGTAATTTTGAACTGCTGATGTAAAAGATCTAAATGCAAACCTTAGAACTAACAAGATCATCAATGAAAAAAAAGGGGGGGACACATTTAGGGGGCTTGAATACTTGGCATAAACACAATACCAACAAAACAAAACACACACCCAGCAGAAGGCCAAACAGATGACTGGGCCTCCTGAAAATAAGACACTTCTGTGCATCACAAGATCTCACCCCAAATAACAAACAGGACCCACAGTGTAGGGGGAAATGCACTGTGGCACATCTTCAAGGGCTAGTCTCTAGAATTTATGGAAAAGCTCAACACCTCAATAAGACAAGCAATCCT